GAAAACAAAAATACATGATTAAAGTCGTCTTCCTGGCCGGTTCTCATAAACCATTATCAACTTTTATAATGTTTAATGATAATTTATTGTTTTTGGGTTCAAAAATTGATATCTACTGCTGAAAGTTGTATAGTGTGTATAAGGACCCCCTCCCCATCCCCCCTATTAACCTCATTAAAGAGCCAGAACAACCCTGAGCTACCCTGGTTCATGGTTCCAACCGAGGGTTGAATTGATGAAATAATGGGTTGGGTTAACACCTAGTCTCTCCACCTAGTAAACTAGGCTTTAACCGAAATACAATGTTACAATATCTAAACCATAGCGTCGATACTCGAAATACAATGTTACAATATCCAAACCATAGCGTCGACACTCGAAATACAATGTTACAATATCCAAACCATAACGTCGATACTCGAAATACAATCTTACAATATCCAAACCATAACGTCGATACTCGAAATACAATCTTACAATATCCAAACCATGACGTCGATACTCGAAATACAATGTTACAATATCCGAACCATAGCGTCGATACTCGAAATATCTTACAATATCCAAACCATAGCGTCGATACTCGAAATACAATCTTACAATATCCAAACCATAACGTCGATACTCGAAATACAATGTTACAATATCCAAACCATAGCGTCGATACTCGAAATACAATGTTTCAATATCCAAACCATAGCGTCTATACTCGAAATACAATCTTACAATTTCCAAACCATAGCGTCGATACTCGAAATACAATCTTACAATTTCCAAACCATAACGTCGATACTCGAAATACAATGTTACAATATCCAAACCATAGCGTCGATATTCGAAATACAATCTTACAATATCCAAACCATAGCGTCGATACTCGAAATGTATATTTCTGTGTGTAATCTGCAGAGATCCAGGCAGGCATTTTACAAGATCGGGTCAGCTTAGAAGTGTCACAACGCCTTGACCATTTGTTTGGTGTTAGTGGGAAAAATGACAGATTTGGCGTGATTTGAGCACATTTTCCTTAATGTTTCTGTGTATATCTGTTACTCGAGGCAAAAAAGGCAAAAAGGTTACATTTATCCTCCTGTATAGGGAGTAGTAGGCTATTCCCTCAGATTACACGTTTAGACCAAGGGGTCGCCTTCCGACAAGTGAAACATGGCTTCTGCAATATAATATGTTTTTTATCGATGTTTCATTTTAGTTATTTTGGGTAAAGCCTAGTCGGTAGTTTCAGCAAGCATGTATTTTATGGTGTTTAAGCTAATCAGTCAAACAGTTAAGTAAATTATAAAAAGGTCATGAACTGAGAACATAGAAACAACCGGTCATNTAACCGTTTCGCTTTTCATTGATTTTACAATTGTTAAGGCAAACCTAGTAATTAAAAATTTTGTTTGTAAAAAATTAATAACTTTCTATTTTGGCTTTGACCATCTTTTTTTCAAAATCATTGCAGATTTTTTAGACATCAAAAGTTATCAATAGCAAAGTTTTTGATAAGGAACTGATTTATCTCCTGATCCTCTAATTTTCTAATCTTTTCTATTCGCAACCTGATGTCGTGTACTAAACTATGCTAACACGTCAAATAAAGTAAATTGAATCTAAGCTAAGATTGGTATTTTATACGTTTTTAATCATACTTCCTCCTAATGAAAAAAATGTAAATGTTTTGAATTTCTAATATATCAAACCAAGAGGAGCTACGAGGTCAAATAATCATACCAGTCATGTGACATAAACTTGGGCCTAATTTTTCTCCCAGTGCTAATAGTTGAATAGACTTAAACCATTAGGTTTTGAACAGTTTTAGAGAATTATAGAATATTGGAGTTTGAGGCAAGTAATCAGTTCTCTGCCTTTTAACTTAATAAATAAGTATAACCAGCATCATATTAGAATCTTGACCCCCCCCCCCTGGCGCCAATATATCCCGGAATTAGTAGGGTTAAGAATATTGTTCTTTGGTATCACCTGAATCCTCTTTTTTCCTTGTTTTCGTTGAGGTTCCTCCCTTTGCTGATTGGTCTTGCTCTTCTTTTTACCCAACTACAGATTTCTATGATCCCAGAGTTTAGTTTAGATAGTTCGAGAGTATGTAAACATATTTTAACAAAGAGATAATCAATATTTCAAAAGTAAAATGCAAAATGGGTATTTTTGATGAGAAATGGTTACATAAAACTAACTACAACGAAGTACATCCTGGCGGGGGGAGGAAGGCCAGCCACAACAATTTCTAGTCCGAGCCATATTCTCCTCAATTTCTCGTCCGTGCAACCTCTAAATCCTTGTCCTTCCAACATTATCTTTTAAGAATCGGGCCACATTAGGGCAGAAATGAAATAGTTTCAATTGAATTGAAGTTTTCGAGTTCTATGTCCTTAAAAATGTACACATTTTTACGCGCATTTTCATATATTCCTGGTGTAGAATGCCGCAAATAATTCCGAGGTTATAGAACTTTAATTTTTTTTGTTAATTATAGTGAAGACCATAAATTTTTCCGGGTGGTTCCACGGGGAAAATGAAAGGGCAGAGGTATGCCAAATATTTTGCTATTTATTTTATATCGCGTAAGTTGGCCATTACGAAGGCAGAAGAGTTTTAAGTTTTACCTAAATAAAGTTTGACATCATTCTCATGTCTCTAAAGTTTCAAACATAATTTAATCATTGCAACACTTTAGTCTATCCATATTTTATGCCCTAACTTGGCCAGATTTGTTAAAAATATTTTTATCTTCAAGAATTAGAAACTTTTAAACACATAATAATCGAAGAACGAGGATTTCGAGGTGGTTCGGACAAGAAAATTAGGAGAATGTGGCTCAGACAAGAAGTTGTTGTAGCTGACCTTCCTCCCCTATCCTGTCCGTATGGAACCTTTCTTAAAATATATTTTGATCTCTCATTTAAAACCTGGCGAAAAAGTACCTGATATACTTAAACATTTAAGATAAATAGCACAACAAAATAATATAAATAAGTAGAAACTAAAAGCTACAATTAACGGGCAAAGTAGGTTCTAAAGTTAGGACTCACATAATTTTAAACATAACCTCTAGTTTACTGTTTGGTGAGCACAATTGATATTTTACTGTTTGGTGAAATATTTTACTGTTTGGTAAACACTATTGATATTTTACTGTTTGGTGAACACTATTGATATTTTACTGTTTGGTGAGCAATATTGATATTTTACTGATTGGTGAGCACTATTGATATTTTACTGTTTGGTGAGCAAAATTGATATTTTACTGTTTGGTGAGCACTATTGATATTTTACTGATTGGTGAGCACTATTGATATTTTACTGTTTGGTGAACACTATTGATATTTTACTGTTTGGTGAGCAATATTGATATTTTACTGTTTGATGAGCACTATTGATATTTTACTGTTTGGTGAGCACTATTGATATTTTAATGTTTGGTGAGCACTATTGATATTATACTGTTTGGTGAGCACTATTGATATTTTACTGTATGGTGAGCACTATTGATATTTTACTGTTTGGTGAGCACTATTAATATTGAAAATGGCAAAAAATGAGTATGCACGTTATGCAATGTATACTTAACGGGAAAGAGAACACAGTGTTCATGGAAAACTGGGCTACAAACACTATTAAGTTCGCTCAATGATCAAGAAAGAAAACACAAAAAAGTTATTATTTCTTGAACCGGACTATGAACAAATTAAATAAATTGCTAATTATTTAGTCTAGTCTTGTGTGGGAGAACATTTTTTTACATTTAATAAATGGCGATAAGGAGTTGAACCGCGCAGTCACAGTTTAGCTTCTCTCTCAAGTTTAAGCTGATTAAAAGAGGTTGAACTACGTCTACTCGACTCAAATATTTCTTGCTATTCATTAAATTTCCAGGAATGCAAACATGCCAAGCTTTACATCTCTATCTTATCTTGCAGTGAGTATCTCTATTCTCAATGAGCTCTTTTCTGTTATAGATACTCCAAGAGTAAGATATCTGCCTTTGATGGCCTTTTAATTCTGTTTGGGTAAAAACCTAATGATAGGTGAAGAACAACATTTGTACACGATCCGAGCTTTTATCATACAAAATTCAACCACTAGGGCCGGAGGGATGTGATGGGAAGGGGGGGGGGTAGGTGTATTATAGTGTTCAAGCTCTTACGTGAAAGTGAGATAATACCCTATTATGAATCATGGGAAAGGTTCGGAACATGTTTGGATCTGGTTTCAGCGGCTCTGTACAGAAATCTAATCAATATGAACAGTGTTCTATACACAGTAATGAAAATCATTCACCAACTAATGAAACTAAAGCATATGAAACAGGAAACGAATACTTCAATTAGCAGTTTATAGTTATCTGTTTAATCTGGAAGGAGTAGGTGGGAAAATCCTATTACACGAACACACCAAAGCATAATAAAAGGGAAGGACAAAACAAAGCAAGATGCCAAAAATTAAATCTAAGAGTGTTCCCATTTTCTATATTTATTTATTTTACTTTTTCATTTCAATTTCAGCTGCACAATTTCGTCTGTAGTGTACTATGTAGCTTCAAATAACGACGGCTACGTAACAAAATGCATTTTTCACAAATATATATTTTTGTTCTGTACCTTATGTGTACCTAATATGTTCTCTGTCCTGTAAATTATGTCCTGTGTCCTGTACCTTATGATCTGTGTCCTTTAACCTATTTCCTGTCCTGTATACGCGTGTGTTCTTTAATCTGTGTCATGTGTCCTTTTATTTGTGTCCTTTGTCCTTTATGTGACGAATTACTTTTACGTATATTTGTGTCTGTTTTGTTGCAGTTAGTCTCCATTAATACACTTCTTCTCACTACTCATTTTATACGCATGCATAACCGTGTAGCCATAACTTTAAGGTTGCGTGTACGCAGGAATTTCTTGCGTAGATTTTCTTTGCGTATAACGGGGAAGAGAGCGGGGGATAGCCCGGTTAAATCACCGCAAATGAACCTCAGTCGGGTTCTGAACATAGAGAAGTGAAGACAGGATGCGTTTAGCTCCAAGCATTTCCACAAAACAAATTGCAAAACAAACATTGACATCAAACATCTTGTGATACAATTATGGTTGCAGTAGAGTAGTGAACCCACACTGCGGCTAGAATGGATCCCTGTTCAGGTGTTGGTAGTTGCACTACTGCAGAAAATAGTCCACAATGGTCGATTCCTATGCTAGGAAAATAATCTGCTTTCTTATTAATTTCTGAATAATTTGTTTTAACCAAAATTAACCAACATATTTGTGTCTCGGCTTGACACGGCTTTTGGCATTAAAAATCTTAAAGCAATAAAAACTGATAAAGGCACTGAACACTTGCCATAAATTTTCTAACCCTCATATCTTTGCAACCTGGAGTCGTAAATCAAGTTTTCTGCTAGATCTGAAGGTTTATAATATCAAGCTTCTAAGTTGTGGAGACTAGAAAAATAAAGTCTGAGGCAAGAGTTTAATTCGTTCTTTCTAAACATAACTTTTATATGGATTATAAAACGAATAGAAAAATGGATAAAAATATATTTTTATTGCAAACGAACAACAAAAATTATAAGAAACGCTTAAAATCTTTTATCCAAAAGCCTTGAAAGAATAAAATGCAGTCCAACTAAATAAATTATCAAGAACTTGATAATCATTTTAGAATGTTTGATATTTATAGAATTTTAAATATACAATGATTCTATATCTAAAACTGTATTAGATCTATATTTATATGAAGATACTCTGCTTTAAGCTATATTTAGATATTTGCATATTTTGTATAATAATAGTATTTAAATATATCACGGTAAACTATACGTATTGGTTTAGGTTCAATGCACATCATTATTTTTCTATAAATATGCATTAATTTTAGCCGGATATAAGTTTCTCAACAAAGTTTCGATGGAAGGGCGCTGGAGGGGGCTGGCGGGAATCCATACTAAGAAAAGGAGGCCCATCAAATTTTTCTTTCTGTGGCTGATTAGAAAAGATCGATAAAGAGCCTTCAGAAAAGTTATATTTATCTTATATTCACCTTATATCCATCTTATATTCATCTTATATTTATCTTATATTCATCTTATATTTATCTTATATTTAAATATCCATCTAATATTAATCGTATATTTATCTTATATTTATCTTATATTCATCTACTATTAATCTTACATTTATCTTATATTCATCTTATAGTCATCTTATATTCATCTTATATTCGTCTAATATTAATCTTATATTTATCTTATATTTATCTAATACTTATCTTATATTCATCTTATATTTATCTTATATTTATCTTATATTTATCTTATATTTATCTTAGGACAAATAAATTTTGTGCTCCAAGAACACAAACAAAAAACAAAAATAAAAAAAGAATCAACATTTTATCTTACATCGCCCGAGCAGGGGTTGTTTATATTCCTCCCATAAACTGCAGTACGTTTTATTTTGGGAAACAAGGATTAAGGGGTTCCTGGTCCCTGGTATATCTTATTTTATTTAGATTATGTAGATATCTCGTTAAACTAAATTAAATTTCAATCATAAATTTTCTTATTGAAGAGATATAAAGAAGAACAACATGTTTTTTAATTTGTTTTTTTTTTCCTGCTTTGTTGTAAAATATAAACTAGAGGACCTACGAGGTCACACAGATGGTAATGTCGGATAAATTTGACCTTCTCCTACTGCTTAGTTTGCAGTGATATGTGCTCATCCAGCAGCTCTTACAACCTTTTCTAAATTAAGATTTTGCGTGAAATATTTAACAAAAATTCAATTAATGGAGTTAATGTATAGGGTTGTTCGGTTTTATTCAATTGATTCTTAATGTGTTCATTTATTTTTATTGTCCGATCAGCTCATACTAAACACGTGTTCCACCCCGGACTAACCAGAGTGAGAGAAGCATTCGGTTTCTTTTATTTGAAGTAAAACGTGTTTTGGTCTATAATTCAACTTTTTTTTTTGTTTATTTTATACTTTTTCATTCGACACGTATATACACGTGGATTTAACGGTTCTTTCAATATTTCAGAAAACTGTGACTTTAAATCAATATTTGACCCCTTTTACATAATTGTATAGCCTTTTATCTTTAATACTTTTTTGTTGGCATATACATTTTGAATGAAAAAGTATAAATAAACAAATCTGTAAGTCTGAAGACTGTTGAGTTATAGACGAAAACACGTTTGATTTCAAATAAAAGAAACCGAATGCATCTCTCTCTCGTTAGTTCAGGGTGTATACCGATAAAAAGGTTAAAACATTAAGGGGTCAAATTATAAAAAGTAAATCAGAAAAAAGGTTAAAACATAAAATATATGTATAAGGGGTCAAATTATGATAAAATGTCACAACTTCCTGAAATATTGACAGAATCGTTAAACCGATAGTTAAATTGATTTGTTCGTTTAGGGAAATTGTTCGTGCAGTACGGTGTTTGTTAGTCGTGTAAACTGTGTAACTACTAAAATAAAATAAAACAACAATATCAAGGATTATAAATATTTATGATAACAATGATAATCCTTCCGATCTGAATCCAAGATTTGAAATCCAATTATCTGATAAGATTTACTAATATGGTCATGTTTAAAATAGTAAAAATCATAATTTCAAAGCAGATTATTTTCTGTATAGTTATATCTGCCATCAATGTACTTGTAATTGTCTGCTATGAAGTATTTATTGTTTGTCGGTCAACTCAGCTTTCACCAAGCAGACGACATCTTTTCCTGTCACAGGTAAACCTCAAGAAACCATATCCAGGGGTTTAAAGGGACAGTACGCGTAATTTCAAGAGACCCTCCATGCAAAGATAGCAATGCCAGATTTAAAACGGTATCCTTAAAACCTGAATTTGGCCAAAAATGTAGAAAAAATAGTCGTTTTTTGACTCTTTCTCAATTGTTTCTTATAAGCAAGAAATGCGCGAGTCACTTTTGCAGAGTGTGCGTGGCGTTAGGTTTAGACATGAAAAAAGTGATACCTGGAAAACTAAATATTTAGGAAAGAAATTGAACACACGCAAACTCCTCTAGATTTTGAATCGCTATATCTTTGAAACCTAATGGATCTAATAGATGTGATAGTTGGAATTTGAGGTCAAAAGGACTATAACATCAAATTGAAAAGCCATAGGGTTTAGAAAATTAGAGTTCGTGTCAAGTTCTCCTTTCCAAAAAATGAAAAAAAAATAAAATAAAATCATAAAAATATTTAGGTTTTACTGTTGGGCCTGTTGTCTGGCTCCTGTGTGGGATTTGCTTATGGTTTAGAAATAACTCCAGCTACTTGTGTTGTAATCAGGAAACTTACACCTCATCCAATATATCTATCTATCTATCTATCTAACTATCTATCTATCTATCTATCTATCTATCTATATATATATCTATCTATCTATCTATCTATCTATCTATCTATCTATCTATCTATCTATCGGGGGTAAAAAAAATTATTTTGAACTGAACCTATCCATCTATATATCTGTCTATCTATCTTTTTGCTACCTTTTTGAATCATGTCTTTGGATGATAGAAATTACCGCAATTTTATAATTACCAAAACTTTTATGACGTCGTGGACGTGTACTGTATATTTATTTAATTACAGATATACATCTATCTCTATATCTTGATGATTTTTTCAATCTATTACTATATATATTTTCTATCATTTATCTCTTTATCATCTTTCTATCCAAAAATCTATCTATCTATCTACGTTGATTGAGAATGTCATCTCACTGGAATTATTGTTTTAACTACACCAGATGTCTCTTCTGTCAGTCTGTTCTAAGGTCAGAGAAGACTATTGACTAATGTTGCAGAAATACTTTTTGTAAATCTTCTCCAAACATTTATTTGCAATCAATCATCCAACTATTATTAACACAAACAACTGATTCCTCGCCACAAACTTTTCCAATCCCGTTATCTTTGCAACCTGATGTTGAAAAATTATTATCTAATTCTTATTTTGTAATATCAAAGGTCTGCGACATCTGGTTGCAAAGACAAGGATTAGAAAATATGAGATTGTGGCGCTTTATTAGTTCTTGTAATTGGTATTGTGTTTGTGTTATCTAAAATACAAAGACATTATATCATTGTGTTTAAATTATCCAGGACAGTTTAATCATTTAAACATAAGGATAGAAATAAATATTGCCCTTTTAGAATTACTAAACAAAAGTATAGCTTCACAAATAAATATCACAAATTCTCAGAGTACTTACTTAGAATCTTATAATCAATACAACCCTTTAATAGAATCTTATAGCATGCTATAACATACTCTTAGAGCACTTTGATAGAATCTTATAGCATGCTATAACATAATCTTAGAGCACTTTGATAGAATCTTATAGCACTTTGATAGAATCCTATAGTATGCTATAACATATTCTTATAGCACTTTAATAGAAACCTATAGTATGCTATAACATGTTCTTATAGCACTTTAGTAGAATCCTATAGTATGTTATAACATGTTCTTAGAGCACTTTGATAGAATCCTATAGTATGCTATAACATATTCTTATAGCACTTTAATAGAATCCTATAGTATGTTATAACATATTCTTATAGCACTTTAAAAGAATCCTATAGTATGCTATAACATGTTCTTATAGCACTTTAATAGAATCCTAGTATGCTATAACATGTTCTTATAGCACTTTAATAGAATCCTAGTAACATGTTCTTAGAGCACTTTAATAGAATCTCCATGAATCTTATTCTTGATATTTTAAAGTGGAAAATCATAATACACTTTCTTCAGTGTATTAAGCTATGTGGAACCAATTTTTTTTTGTTTATCAACCACCAAAACTATGTTAAAATATGTATTTATCTTGTTTTTTAAATCAAGTCTATTTAAACTAGACAGAATTAATTTTAATTTAAGTAAGATTATCAGGTTATCTTTATCGGATAGAAAACATATGGCACCCCCCCCCTCCCCTGTTATCAGACCCAAGAATCTTAATTCAAGGTTGATATAATTAGTGAAGCTGAAAACATGATAATCAATAATGTTCCGAAAATAATCACAATTATCAGGTTCTCCCGCCAAAATTTATCCAAAAACGTGAAAATTTTACATTTTTAAGGGAAACATCACAACTAGAAATTATCACTTTTTAGATAAAAAAACGTTGATCGTAAAGGGTACCAATGTTAATCCTATTATTATTGAACGATCATTTTAAATCTTGTCGTCAGTTCAGTCCGTTTAACGCCCACCATCTTTCAGTCCAAAATAATTAATCTCTAGATTAAGAAAACTCCAAAAATGAAATTACTTGATACTTTAATTAATTTTAAGTTGTAATACTTAATTTCTTTTATATCTGAGATTCAAACACCCGTAGGCGAAAGCCATAGCGAAGCTCTCTTTGTGTCTGGAATTGACAAGGGGAAGAAGTGAATTATGTAAATTATATTGAATATATAATCTATGTATATATCAGCTTTCAGTATTTAGATATATACACATAATATTCGACTGTAGAGCTAAGAGAGTAAGATCATCTTTCAATACTTTCTAAAGTTTTATTTATTAATACAAAATCCCTAAATCAAATTAAAGGACTTATATATGCAATTTCAGATAGTTATACCTTTATCTTTAAACCATTATCTAATCAAGGATGATGAAGACATTTTTGTTTTTCTATCTGAAACTTGATTATTTTTAATTGTCGGATATATATATATATATAATTGATTTTTAAATTTGTGCTGCATAGACAACGAAGGAAATTGTCAAAATTTAAAACAGTTTAAGATCGAAAATCTTATTAAATGTCACTCAAATAAAGGTTTAAAAGCCTGTATAAACTCTTTAGATGGAAAGGCAATTGACTTTTTCTTTATCTCTCTTTTCTTCTTATTATTTCTTCAAAACACGAAAGTGCACAATCCTACATTTAACAAGATATCATGTAAATTCGTGCGCTCCATCTTTGAAATTGAAAATTCTAAAAAGTCAGGGCTATAGAGTTTTAAATCAAATTCAGCATGAGAAACCACATCCACCCTTTGGCTAGAGACGTAACCAAAAAATTTTCCGGATTTGGACAAATCGGTTTCAAGTTAAGACATTAAAAATGTGCAGGATAGGAGACCAGTCAGACAGGATGACAGGAAGAACGGATTTGAGGGCATGCAAAATATTTACAGTAGGCTAGGCGAACGAAAACATTAAAAGACAAGAAAAATAAACAACAAATTATTGTATTGTAATTTTGTTTTAACTTGTCTAACATATTTTAAATAGGGGGGCTCCCTCTGCAAATAAGGAATTTTTTTTAGGACTCACAGACACATGCATTGTTACAGACAATGTTAATGAAAGTATACTTTTCAAATTGAAACCAGCAATACTATATATATAGGTAGAATCATTTACCACTCAGTACGAGAGTAGAATAAGAAACCCGAGTAGAATAGAATTTTATACGGAAAAATATTGGAATATAGAAGAAAAGAATAGAGGAATATAGAGAAAAAGAATAGAGGAACATAGAGGAAAAGAATAGAGGAATAAAGAGGAAAGTAATAGAGCAATATAGAGAAAAAGAATAGAGGAACATAGAGGAAAAGAATAAAGGAATAAAGAGGAAAAAAATAGAGGAATATAGAGGAAAAGAATCGAGGAATATAGAGAAAAAGAATAGGTGAACATATAGGAAAAGAATAGAGGAATAAAGAGGAAAAAAATAAAGGAATATTATGATTTATTTGTCGAACACATAAAATTGGTTCAGATATTAGATTAGAACTATAATTCAATTTATACTTAGGTTTTCAACTAACGACTTTAATTTTTCTCTAATGTCGTCTTCTTCACAGTCCCGGAGCTGTAACAGGAGATGCTGCAGACATTCGATATTGTCTTCTTCTTGAATGGTGAGCGGCCCACATTCTTCAAAGATGGCTCTTGGTAGGCTATTTAATATATCTAGAGAGAATTCGTCAGAGATATTTGAAATGTTTCTTCCAAAGTCGTACTGTAGAGAATACGCAGATATCGATCCAACTTGCCAAATCAATGGATTCCAACTATGCAAAATAGACTGTGCAAACTTGGCAAATCGTCTCAGTAAAAGAACTCTCACAGAGTTGAATTCTTTTTTTCTTATTTTTACTTATTTTTTCACAAAATAAGTATATGAAGGCTGTGGCAAGTTCCAACAAACTTTAACTGTAGTGTTCCAAGATCGGTAGGTTTGACAGGCATATTCACTGTAAAGGTTCCAAATATTGCTTCCATAAAAGGAACAACAATAAGTTTGCACAGCAGATAACTTTTGCAGTGGTGAGCAGAAATGAAAAATTCCCAACAATTCAGTAGATGATCCAATGTAGGCACCTCTAGCCTTTTTGCAGTCTATATCTTGTGAACCTGATTCATGAATGATATGACCAAGACCAAGACCATGGATAGAGGAAATTAATAGAGGAATATAGAGAAAACGAATAAAGGAATATAGAGGAAAAGAATAGAGAAATATAGAGGAAAAGAATCGAGAAATATAGAGCAAAAGAATAGAGGAATATAGAGAAAAAGAATAGAGGAATATAGAGGGAAAATTCAGAGGAAAATTAAGGAAAATAAGAGAGAAAGATAGAAGAAATTAATTGAGGAATATAGAGGAAAAGAATAGAGGAATATAGAGGAAAGAATAGAGGAATATAGAGGAAAATAATAAGATGAATACAATCCTCTTCTTGTTAAACCATCATCATTTTTAATTTGACTGGTCTGACCTCTACAGTCTACTCTACCGATACAATATAGAAACTTTAAAATCATTTCTAGACACAGTAACAATACGCATCTCCTTATATAGATGGTTTCTCTAGGCTTTCAGGGGGTAATAAACAGAAGGTCTTAGAATCAATGGGATCTTAAACAACTTTTCTTTCAAGAAAGTGTTGAGGACGCACATTGAGGACGGACATTGAGGACGTACATTTTGGACGCACATTGATGACGCACAATGGAGACGCACATTGTGGACGCACATTGAGGACGCACATTGTGAACGCACATTGAGGGCACACAATGAGGAAGGATATTGAGGAAGCACGTTGAGGACGCACATTCAGAACGCTCCTTGTAGACGGACATTGAGCACGCACATTAAGGCAGCACATTGAGGGAGCACATTGTAAACGGAAATAGAGGACGCACATTAAGGACGCACATTGTAGACGGATATTGAGGCCGCATATTGTAGACTGATATTGAGGACATACATAGAGAACACATATTGAGGACGTACACTGTAGACGGACATTTAGGACGCACATTGTAAACGAACATTGAGGACGCACATTAAGGACGCACATTGAGGACGCACTTTGAGGACGTTCATTGTGGATTCACATTGAGAACACACATTGTGGACACACATTGTAGACGGAAATATTGAGGACGCACTATTAAGACGTATAGTTAAGGAAGCACGTTGAGAATGCACCTTTAGTACGCACTTTGTGGACGCACATTGAAAACGCACATTTAAGACGGACATCAAGGACGCAATAAGTATGACAAACATACATACATAAAACACATTTTTCAGCTTTATAGAATAGAATACTACTCAACTCAACAAATAAAAAAGTCCGATCTAAAGTCACATAGTTTGTTGGTCCCTATAAAAATTACGCTTTAGAATATGTGAAGTTCTTTCTGTATGATATTTTATATTATATATAATACTAGCTGAAGCGCCCGGCGTTGCCCGTGAAATTTTTAAAAATACTTTAAAAAAATCAAATTTTTAAAGGGGTATAAAGGGTTCCCTCAAAAAATGTCAGCCAATTTGGTTCAGCCGTTTGGCGAGCTATTGCTAACTTATATATATATATATATATATATATAACAGCGAAGTGCTTTATTTTACAGATTTTATGAAATTGCTTCAAGTAAAAGTTTAATTTCGATAACAGGGTTAATTTCTCATGTAAAATATGTAACCTGTTAATTGCGCATGCACGCTGCAGTGTGGTTTACTAATAATACGCAGAGACAAGAACTTTAAAGCGCACAAAGTCCGGAATATCTATAAAAAGTTGGATACAAGATTCCAAGTTTGATTCAAGAATTAAAGTTTGATTTATGAGTTTAAAGTTTGATTAAAGATTTAAAGTTTTTTTTCAAGATTTCAAGTTTGATTCTCGGTTTAAAGTTTGATTCTAGGTTTCAAGTTCGATTCTAGGTCTAAAGTTTAATTCAATAATTTCAGTTTGATTCAAGATTTAAAGTTTCATTGAAGATTTGATGTTTTGTTAGAGATTTAAAGTTTATTTTATATTCATATAATTTTATTATAAAAGGTTTGGAATTTAAAGTTTATGTCTCCGACCGGAATTCTGGTAAGGCTCCATGTTTTTGGTTCAATAAAAACCCTCCTGAATTCTTCAGATGAGTTTGGGGGCAAACCAATCCTAAAGCTAAACCAACTCTAAACCATTTATCAATTGAAACCATTTCAAAGGTTTTACACTGGGTTTCTATCCCTTCAAACCATTCAACATCGTTATTCTTGTCTGTCGTATCAGTTGTTTCATATATAAAGAGTTTTCTTTTAACTTTACTTATATAACTTCGGTTTCATTTAGTCTCTAGTCTCTAGTCTCTAGTCTCTAGTATACAATCTTCTATATATAAATTTGGCTTGTCTGTCTGTCTGTCTGTTTGTTTGTTTGTATCCAATAAACGTCAAAACGGCTGAATAGATCGGGCCCAAATTTTTTGTGGGACATCTAGGGACCCCAGGGAAGGTTTATGAATGATCAAAATTTCAAATATTTGTCTCCATCAAAATTCGATCTTCATTAAATTTTTGAAAATTTTGAAAATCCACGAAATTTTTTGTGAAAATCCGCGAATTAATTTTGTTTTGTTTTACGATGTACACAAATAGAACATGTTCACAATTAATTCAGAAGATGGGCGCGAAGCGCCCTATAAGGCTAGTCTATATATAAATTTGGCTTGTCTGTCTGTCTGTCTGTTTGTTTGTTTGTATCCAATAAACGTCAAAACGGCTGAATAGATCGGGCCCAAATTTTTTGTGGGACATCTAGGGACCCCAGGGAAGGTTTATGAATGATCAAAATTTCAAATATTTGTCTCCATCAAAATTCGATCTTCATTAAATTTTTGAAAATTTTGAAAATCCACGAAATTTTTTGTGAAAATCCGCGAATTATTTTTGTTTTGTTTTACGATGTACACAAAGAGAACATGTTCACAATTAATTTAGAATCTAAGGCTAGTTAATTTATATAGTCTTTATTATCCAGCCTTTAATCTGCAGTCTTTAGTCTCCAGTCTGTAGTCTTTAGCTTTTAGTCTTTAGTCTTAAGACTTCAGTCTCTAGTCTTAAGTCTTTAGTCTCTAGTATAAAGTCTTCAGTCTCTACTCTTAACTCTTACGTCTCTAGTCTTAACTCTTTAGTCTCTAGTCTTAAATCTTAAGTCTCTAGTCTTAAGTCTTTAGTCTCTAGTATAAAGTCTTTAGTCTCTACTCTTAATTCTTACGTCTCAAGTCTCTTTAATCTCTAGTCTTAAGCCTTTAGTTTCTAATCTTATTTCTAGTCTCAAATCTATTTGTTAATTACTAGTTTATTTTAAGTTCATTCAAATAGATCTTCTCAAAATTATTATCTATTATCTACTAGCTGGTATTCAATATTATCTATTATCTAATATTTATTGTCTATTATCTAATATCTATGGTCTATTATCTATTACCTATTGTATATTATTTATTATCTATTATCTCTTATCTTTTTATATTATCTATTATCTCTTATCTATTTATATTATCTATTATCTTGTATCTACTATCCATCAGTCGTTTACGGCGGTAACCATAAAACTGTGGAATAGTTATTCATTATTTCTTTGATAAAAGAATTAGTTAAAACATAAATATTTCTTTGAATGTTACAGACAACAATCATTCAACTGCTTTCTGGTTACCACTGTATCTTATATCTAGATTTTGAGTTTGTAAGACTATTTAGGTTTGGGACTGGGGTTTCTTATGTACTGATCTACTCTAGTTTACTAGTCAAGCTTGTGTTCCTTATATCCCTCAATACAGGGGTATACCTTCCTGCCTTATATCAGGTATACTTCCTGCCCTTTACCAGGTATACTTCCTGCCCTATCTCAGGTATACTTTCTGCCTTATACCAGTTATACTTCCTGCCCTATACCAGGTATACTTTCCTGCCTTATACAAGGTATGCTTCCTGCCCTATACCAGGTATTCTTTCTGCCCTTTGCCAGGTATATTCCTGCCACTTACCAGGTATACTTTCTACCTTATATCAAGTGCACCTTCCTGCCTTATACAATGTATACTTACTGCCGTATACAGGGTATACTTCCTGCCCAATACCAATACTGCCCTATACAACTTATTTTTTCTGCTTTATACCAGTTATACTTCCTGCCCTATACCTGGTATATTTCCTGTCCCATACAAGGAAGACGTGTATTATCTTGTAATGTCTTTTTTACCTCATTTGCGACCTATAATTCTTGTTTAGTTTTAATTATAAAAATCCATTTGTCCATTTATATCAGGTGTTGTTTAATTAATGTATGGTTTGGTTTAAAGCCTGCAGGCCCCCGAATAAAGAAAAATCTAGAGTTCTACCGCCTGTTCCGTCTTATACTTCCAGTAGAACAGAATATAAATCATTTTTGATTATATCATAAACAAAGATATTTATCTACAAGACGTCCAAAGATGAAATTAGATTATATTACAATGAAAATACATTAGATTCTGTATATCCTTAATGCACATGTGCATTATCATACGACGCTGATCAAATTTGACCTAAACAAACGTTCTAAGACATGAATTAACAAAATATTTTATTAGTATTCTTGAAAAATAAGTCTTTGATTGAGATTGTATAATTATCAAGTTTAAGGAGACTTTTCAATATCATGGTCAAACTTGACGTAGGAGGGATACTCCCTTGATTTTACTTATATTCTTGGACCATATACAATGCACAATGCACGTACTCAATCTATGCAATTGCACAAACCCAACATTAATTATCCAAGCCAAACTTGATTAAGAGAACTAAACCCAACATTAATTATCCAAACCAAATTTGATAAAGAGAACCAAACCCAACACTAATTATCCATCCAAACAAAACTTGATAAAACCAAACCAAATAGTTCGAACTAATGCACTGAAATAAGTACTCAAAACGAAGTTTATAATTGAAAAAACCATCGTTGTTATTATTCATCTTAAATTCTTTTATTTTCAGGCATTACTGCTGATTTTCTGCATTCTAGTTCAGGAATTCATTTTCTTCAGTTCAAAAATTTTATGAATAAAATGATTTTAAAGTGAGTGAAGTAATTGATTGATGAATGGTTAAGAATAAGACGAAACTAATGAATGAATGGTTAAATGGTTGAATTGGAATGTTAACGGATAAAGAATGAGTTTTGAAATGAAACAATGTATGCCACTGTAAGTATGAAAGGATGATAGGAAGGATGAAACAATGACTGAAAGGATGAATGAATGAATGAATGAATGAATGAATGAGTAGGTAGTGGTAGAGGTTGAATGGTTGACCCTAATACCAGATTGTAGTTTCAAATCAACCGACCATGTATTTTCCATAGGTAATTAAACATTTTTATATATTTATAATCCTTTCTCCTTGGATCAACCTTCATGCAGTCTTAATTTGCTTTATTTCTTGTCTCCACTCAACCATCTATTTTCTCCCTTCCCCCTCCTTTTCCCGATCCTTCCCCCCACCCGTTCACTTCTCATTCAGATAAAATGTAAACTACAGTAAAACACATTAAAAATGGGACACATATTTTTTCTAATAATTTTTATAAAATTAAAAAAGATTTCTAAAAGAAATCACACAATTTTTTCTTTCTGCCATGTTTTTTCTTTTTTAGTTCGTTTCCTTTCTTTTCCCTCGTTTCTTTTTTATCGTAATTATTTGATTTTTTTTAACCTGTCTCTATCTTTCTCTTAAATTCATCTTTCCTGTTTTTAAGTTGTTCTTTTCTTTCCTCTTCATAGTTTATTCTTGATGGTTCCCTGGTGTCCTTCAACTATTATTGTTATCCTTTAGATCGTGGGGTTTATTGCAGTTGACATTATGAAACATACTCCTACATACATTACAGGATACAGAATACAGAACACAGGAGACAGAATACAGAATACGGAATACAGAACAAGCTACAGAATAGGCTACAGAATATATAACAAATAGGATACAGAACACAGAATACGTATACACAATACAGGATAGGATACAAATACAGAAAGCATGAATATATACAGGACTGCAGGACACAGGATATAGGATATAGGATACAGAATACAGGACACAGGATACAGGATACAGGATATAGGATACAGGAAACAGGATACAGGATGCAAAACAGAGTATACAAAATAGGACACTGTGTACAGGATACAGGACGCAGGGTAAAGGGATACAGCCACAGGTTACATAATACAGAATACTGACTACTGAGTACAGAACACAGAACACGCGATAAAAATTCTGTAATCATAGACAAGAGCATTCTGTATTCTTAGAGTGTTCTGTATCCATATATCTTTCTGATAAAATCTGGGATGGATTTCATATTTTTAAACACCTTGTTTTAAACACTGATTTTTTATTGAATCTGTTGAACCTTGTGTATTTTTTTAAGGGTCGTGGGTTCTCTGATTGGAGGCATTCAGAGATACTTTCATAGAAAACTTCCATTGGGGGGGACTCTATAATTAAAGATAGTGTGTATTTTCTACTGCTCCTTTAATGGGTTCTTTTCTTCCTTTTCTTTCTTTTCTTTTTCTTTTTTCGTTTATCTGATTTTCTTTATCTTTTTTCTTGTCTTTTTGCTTTTATTTACATTTTCATGCATTCTAATTTGTCAATAAATAGCCTTTTTAATATATGATTTTGTTTCAGCGTATGTGATATTTCTAATAATATTTGTTGGGAGTTTATCAATAAAATCTAGACACATCAAGGAATAGTAATAAACATTTATTTTGATCTGAAATTTTATTTTATATTTTTAATATTCATATTTTTTTCACCTATTCACCTATTCATCTATTCGTCTATTCATCTATTCATCTATTCATCTATTCATCTATTCATTTATTCATCTATTCATCTATTCACCTATTCACCTATTTATCCATTCACCTATTCATCTATTCATCTATTTATTCATCCTTCTATTCATCTATTTATCTATTCATCTATTCATCTATTCATAAATTCATTAATTCCTCTATGCATCTATTCATCTATTCATCTATTTATCTATTCATAAATTCATTAAGTCATCTATGCATCTATTCATCTATTTACCTATTCAACTATGCATCTATTCATCTATTCATCTACAGAGAACCCTGTATTATCTAAATAAGTAGAACTATTTTTACATACATTTTTATACTCCTGCATAATGGTTAAAAACAATGCATGAAAAGTGTGTATTGAATTGCATTAGTTTTGGTGCCAATTTCGATTCTGTTCACTTCGTAGGTTTTTCTACCATTTAACGGTTTATTGACGGAGCACTATTTCTTAACACTTCAAAATTTTCAAATTTTTTTTTTCAAATTTTTTTACATAATGGTGAAATTATTTTATTGAAACAAGTATACTCAAGGTACTAATGCAAGGAAAGTTTATTGCAGTTGTGTATGCTCTGCGTACATATTGAAACCAGTTCTCTTTGGGCGGACTTTGTAAACAAGAGGCATCTGCAGTGTTGTTTTAGTATCCGAAGAGTATTAAAGCATTTAATTTTGATAATTTTGAAAATTCACATAATAGTTTCCTATGACCAGAATATTTCATAGATTATTTTTGTGAAAATGGATTCCATGTCAGGCTGTGGAATCCGTTTTGTGTTTACTTTTCCTCCCAAAGACAGTACACTGCAGTACAAAAACTGCGTTCACCTGTGAAATAACTTTCTTTGCATTAGTACCTTGAATATACTACATTGAATTAGAAGCAACATTCAGAGAAGAACAAAAAAATTCAAAATTTATTAGCTCATGGATGAAAAAACAATTAAAAATGCATCTCGTATCACTAATTACTATTCTTTTTTTTGAATAATTACTGCTTGATTTAAAGCCAACAAAAAAAATATTTAAAAAGCTCGAGTGTAATTTGAATGTAATTGGGTTTGGATGATGCCCATAATGATATATTATAAGAAAATAAAACCTTTACAATCTAAACGTTTTTAAGGATCATATTTTTTTTAATTTAAGAATTTTAATTTAGTAAACACTTTAGGACTAGTGTAAACTGAATCTGAGCATTTTTATCTCAAATTTTAACTCTTAGTTTACAGAATCTTTCCAGATTTTCTTATTTATGAAAAATGTTTATTACTTGTAATGTATCCAGGATAATTATAGAGAAGCTAGTTATATTGCTCTTCTTCTAACCTTTAATATTCCACTATGGTTGGTCTGGATAATAGCTTCAGTCATTCTACCAGATTCATATCATAATGTCTGTTTTGGTAAGCTGATATATAAAATGTATAAAATGCTTTGCATCCTCCAGAAAAAAAAACTAAAATGGACTGGAAGCATTATTTCTCTTGAAAAGATGGCAATGCCTGGCTTACAGCGGTCTCTTGAAACCTAAATCTGAAAAAAAATCGTTTCTCTGACTCAAAAAATTTATTTTATTCTGCGAATTTCTCCGTTGCTTCTTATAAGCAAGAAATGCGCAATTAACTTTCACAGAGAAACCGCAAATGAAAATAAACAGTTCAATGAAACAAAAACATTGATATATAATTCTTACTTGATCCGACAAAGCTTTAAAGGGTACCGTTGTAAATCGGGCATTGTCATATTTACATGGAGAGTCACAAGAATTTACGCACTCAGTCCTTTAATAAAACCTCGCAATGAGGTCTAAAGCCCCTTTAAAGGAAGGGATATAAAAACAATTCTAAATTATCTAGTTGAAAAGTGCCGGACAAAATTTAAATAATACCAATGTTGAAATTAACATAAACTTTAAGTTTACAAATTTCACATAATTAATTTTCTAAATTAACGGGTTGTATTATGTATACAAAAGCTATGTGTATTATGTATACAAAAGCTATGAATCATGAAAGTAAACGTTAATGTTTCCAAATACTTTAATGAGGAAACAATCCTTTTTAAAGTGTATATATACTGTAGTAGACCGCAGCTCATTAATTATCTCTTTAAAGCTAGATTTAGAATAGATTTAAAGGGACTGTAGACATAATTTCAAGTGACCCTCCCTCATGCTCGATTCACAATTTGATAAATCTTTAAAGATTTGTTGAATTAATTATGATCTCCATGTTTTCCTGTAAAATTAATAAGTGTCTTAATGCATTTTTGCTTCAGAAGCAATGGAAGAAATTGTAAAAATTAAAATATTTTGACAGTTCCTTTAAAAAATGTGATATTAAAACTCTTTTCAAATTTCACGTATATCTTTTCAAACTTCTTTTATTGAAGAGCTATTGATAAGAACAAAAATGTTTTAAATCTCTAATATGAAACCGGATACATTTGCCTTTCCTATGCTGTAAAATCAAAACTAAAAAGCTGCGAAATCACAAAGTCATGCTAGTGATATCGCATGAATATTACCTTCGCTTTCTGTGTAGTTTCTAGTATAAGTAAACTATGAATAACAAGAATATTCTTAGATTTATAATTTACAGGCTGAGGCGGTTAACAATACAGAATATTAAACCTTTAACAGGGTTTACAACATTTTCACATTTTCTTATATTTCTTAAAGAGTCTGTTGGCGCAATTTCATGACATGAAACGGTTCACGACGATGCCTTATCATTCTTTATCTCACCAAAATCGATCAATATCTAATTTTTTTGCGCTTCCTGCAAAAAAATAACAAGGAGGGAATAGGACAAAATATATCTCTTTTCTTTTAGATGCATTGCAATATCTTCCTCATTGTTACACAAAAAAGGTTTATTAAAGGGAATCCTTGGGATTTGGGCATATTATTATTTAAATGAAAATGTATAAAAATTAGTTTTAAATTTTCTCATATTTCTTAAAAATAGTAAAACTGAGAGCTTTGTACGCGCTAACACCACCCTAGCGTAACGTTAACTCGGTGTTTAAGATTTGCAAAATTACGATTTACTAATTTTTTCAACTTAAAGGGGCTGTCCTTGTATTTTTAAAAGACCTTTATTTAAAGCGTGGAAAGTCCGACAGATCTATGCAAGTCACAATTAAAAATAATCAATTTTAAATTTAAAAACATGGTTCATGGATATCATTTTTATATTTGAACATACAAAACTCTGAAGGGTAGTAAAGCTAGTAAATAATGTAGTTACGCAATCTGGATGCGCAATATTTGCAGAGTTTCCCCGTATTAGGACAAAAATATAAAATTACTTTTTCAGGTTTTATTTCTCGTGATGCATGTAAATTCAGCTCATTGTTATTTTTTTTTTTGGTTTAAGGATTTGGTCCTCTTGCAACTTGTATAATTACATTTATATTACTAGCCTTAGAGGGCGCTTCGCGCCCATCTTCTAAATTAATTGTGAACATGTTCTCTTTGAGTACATCGTAAAACATAACAAAAATAATTCGCAGATTTTCACAAAAAATTTCGTGGATTTTCAAAATTTTCAAAAATTTAATGAAGATCGAATTTTGAAAATATTTGAAATTTTGATCATTCATAAACCTTCCCTGGGGCTCCGTGAGGTCCCACAAAAAATTTGGGCCCGATCGGTTCAGCCGTTTTGACGTTTATTGGATACAAACAAACAAACAAACAAACATACAGACAAACAGACAAACAGACAGACAAGCCAAATTTATATATAGATGTTACAGGATTTGGTCTTCTTGCAACTTGCATAATTTCATTTATAAAAATGTTAAGGATTTGGTCTTCTTGCAACCTTCATAATTACATTTATGACAATGTTTCAGGATTTGGTCATCTTGCAACCTGCAAAATTACATTTGTTACAATTTATTAGGATTTGGTCTTCTTGCAACCTGCATAATTACATTTATAACAATGTTTCTACCAAAATCCCGACAGATGACGGCTATGGGACGAGAGGGGGTTTTTATAGAGGTAATTAGCATTCTGTATCTTGTATCTTGTGTTTTGAATATCCTATATCCTGTATATCCTATATCCTATATTGCCTATATCCTGTATATCGTATATCCTGTGCATCCTATATCCTGTACATCCTATATCCAGTATATCCTATATCCTGTATATCCTATATCCTGTATATCCTGTATCCTGTATATCCTATATCCTGTATATCCTGTATCCTGTATATCCTATATCCTGTATATCCTATATCCTGTATCCTGTACATCCTATATCCTGTATTTTATACGATGTATATTTTGTTCTGAATATCATATATCTGCAGATCCTGTATCATATATCGATAATTTTCCCGTATCCTATATCCTATATCTAATGTGCAATATTCTGTAATCTATATCCTGTATCTCGTATCCTGTATCCTGTATCATGTTTGTATTGTAGGACCATGATGAGGATGTATCTGATGAAAGAATAGATACACAATATCATCAATACAGGAACCTACATCACATCATTATTTATCTAAGCATTATTAATTCTTTCCTTCTGGTTGGAAATTTAGATTTTATTATTTTTACAGTGATTTTTATAGTGTTCCCTGGGTGATGTTGTTTATTTCGTTTATTAAGCTGTAATCACAGATCAGATTGAATTAGATGCGTGGTTGACGCGCACTACTGGTACGCATCGTTTGAAAGTGCTCAATGTCGGAATCTTTATGTACCGGATGCACATGCAGTGGACGTACAGAATGGGCTGAATATTTTTTGCAAATTAGAATCTAAGTTTGTGTAACGCCCTTAGATACTATCATAAAGCTAAAAAACAGAATAGGAATAAGAAGAAAATTTTCGATTTAAAATAAATATATTTCAAAAAAACTTTTTTAAATCTAAGTCATTATAAATAAACCCACTGTGGACAGCTGATACTGCAGAAATATTGTGCGCAACATTTATGATAACCTTAAAATAGCCATGTCTATTTATTGATTATCTTCATTTATACACGTATATACAGCTGAATAGTTGGTAACTCTTAGCTAAGCTAGAAGGGCAGGGCGGACCGTGGCAACAATGTATCCTATAGTTGATCCATGGGTGTAACCATAAAACAGTAAATAAAACCCATGTCGTCTTCTTATATTATCTAATTTTAAAATGGTGGTTGAGGATTTTGTGAATTCTAGCTGATTTATGTAAACAAATGTGCCCATAAGGTTGAAACTTTTGTGTGAATAATGCTTTATCTTGATGTCTAGTGTGGGCACTTTTAAATTCCCTTAATTAAAGTTATCCCTGCAGAGTATGCCCATAACTGGATGTCGCAGAAGAATTACATTAATCTATAGATGAACATAAGACGTAGATTAATACTTGATCACGAGATCAACAAAATAAATATTCTGACTTAAAATATAGAAATGAAGATAGAACGTAGAGAATTTCAGAATTTTCTGGTTACTGCTCTCCACTGCTCTCTCTGAAATAAATGATTTTTATTTGATTTCTCTTAATTCTGTTTATTGCCTTAATTCTTCGGTTGTTAGTTTTTTTCATTGATTTTTGTTTGTTGAAAGACAGGTTTGTAATTGAACAATATGTTTCGTGTTTAAACTGTACTTGGAAATTTGAGTTTAGGAAATGAAATTTGAGAATCTAGGCTTTTAACCTATTCAAAGATTTCTCCTGACATTCATTCCTTCCTTCCTATTTCTACAATGAGAACCAGAAAACTTGGGAATAGGAAGACGACTTTTAGACTCAAGTCCAAAGAACACGTGATTTAGTAACATAAATAATAATAATAAGCATTCCAAGTTATAAACCTTTATGTCCCAAGCTCGTTTAAGTTCACACAAACATTTCAAGCTATATAATTTTATCCAATATTTGTATAAGATTTTGTTAAAGCATAAATAGTTTTACCCTTAGTTTGAAAATAAAATTATTAGGTGAAATGGGTCTGTGTACACTGCACAATTACTGTATTTCATGTACATTTGTTTATTTAAAATCAGAATCTAGGTCTACCATGTTGTCTTTTTATTCCACAATTTTATGTGTTGCACTGTATTATTATAAACCTGATGTTATTGGTTATTAGAACTGTGAAACCAAAACCCCTGGGATCTGTGTTCTCGAAGTGGGAAAATCAAAATGATGCAGTTTATCAAAATGGTTCCTATCTAGGTAAATTTTAACATAAAATTAGAATTCAAATCTTTTAATTTCAATTATAACCTTTCTCTACCGGGAGTACAGAGTTTTAGTTAAGAAAGGTCGATGACTATTTTTCTATGAGAATTTATAGACATTTATACAACATTCTTAGGTTCATCCTTTTCATTCTAGACATTTATACAACATTCTTAGGTTCATTCTTTTCATTGTAAACATTTATACAACGTTCTTAGGTTTATCCTTTCCATTGTAGACATTTACACAACCTTCTCAGGTTCATCTTTTTCATTCTAAACATTTATACAACATTCTTAGGTTCATTCTTTTCATTCTAGACATTTATACAACATGCTTAGGTTCATTCTTTTCACTGTAAACATTTACACAACATTCTCAGGTTTATCTTTTTCATTCTAGACATTTATACAACATTCTTAGGTTCATCTTTTTCATTGTAGACATCTATGCAACATTCTTAGGTTCATCTGTTTCATTGTAGACATTTACACAACATTCTCAGATTCATCTTTTTCACTCTAGACATTTACAAAACATTCCTGGGTCCATACTCAAGATTTCATCCTGTTCATGTCATCCAACCTTATCCTATTCCAACCTCATCCTCATCCAACTTCAACCTCATCCAAATTCACCCTTATGCAACCTGATTCCATCCAACCTCATCCTTATTCAACCTCATCCTCATCCAATCTAATCTTTATTCAACCTCATCCTTATACTACGGTTAGCTTTACAGGGCTCAGTTAAGCTATACTAGGATTAAGTTAAGTTAGTGTTGGTTGAGTAATTCTAGGGTTAAGTTAGTTTAGGCTAAGCTATACTAGTATAGCTAGGTTATTTAAGGTAAAGGTTGGGTTCAGGTTAATTTATTCTAGGGTTAAGTTAGGTTAGGCTGGGTCTGTTTGGGTTAGGTTGGGATAAATTAGACTGGGTAATTCTAGGGTTTAGTTTGAGTGCTGAGAAGGGTTCGGAAGGTTGCATAATATTAAATATATCTATTCCCCTTTCTTGGCATGCACCCAGATACTCTCCTTCAATTGTCAACCTAGGGTAATCCATCAAATCTACGTCATGTACAGGGTGTCCTGGGATATATATGTACACTATACGGGTGTCCTAGGACATAAGGCACTGCATATAGGGTGTTATGCCTATATATGTACACTGTACAGGGTGTCTTAGAATATGTGTACACTGTACAGGCTGTCCTATTATATATGTACACTGTACAGTGTACAATTAACCTGGGATATATTTACACAGGTCTAAGGGTGTGATAGGATATATGTATATACAGGGTGTTCAATGATATATGTACACAGCGCAAAGGGTGTCCTGGGATATATGTCACTGTACAGGGTGTCCAGGGATATATGTACACAGGCTACAAGGTGTCCTAGGATATAGATTAGAATGGATCGATGTGGTTGAAGGGAATAGATCGATGAGGGTTGAAGGGAATAGATCATTGAGGTTGAAGGGAATAGATCGATGTGGTTGAAGGGAATAGATCGATGAGGTTGAAGGGAATATATCGATGTGGTTGAAGGGAATAAATCTATGAGGTTGAAGGGAATAGATCGACGAGGTTGAAGGGAATAGATCGATGAGGGTTGAAGGGAATAGATCGTTGTGGTTGAAGGGAATAGATCGACGAGGGTTGAATGAAATGGATCGATGAGGGTTGAAGGGAACAGATCGATGAGGTTGAAAGGAATAGATCGACGAGGTTGAAGGGAATAGATCGATGAGGGTTGAAGGGAATATATCGTTGTGGTTGAAGGGAATAGATCGACAAGGGTTGAATGAAATGGATCGATGAGGGTTGAAGGGAACAGATCGATGTGGTTGAAGGGAATAGATCGATGTGGTTGAAGGAAATAGATCTATGAGGGTTGAAGGGAATAAAAAGTCAAAATTAAACACTTTTCAAGCTAGAAAAACGACCATATCTTCCACATTATTGATCAGATAAACGTTTAAAAGGAACCGTTGTGAATCGTGCACTGTTCGTTGGTTTATATGGTATTCGTGTACTGGGGTGTAGATATAGAAATGTAAAAATGCGATATGTCATCTCACAATTTCTTTCATCAAGCCTATCTACAGATAAGAAAATTAAAAGTCATTTTCACTGGATTAGATTAAAACATTGTTTAAGAATTATACAGATTTGACAGACCAAATTTGCATTGGCAAGAATTGTTTCAAGAAATCAAAATGTCTGTTTAATTTATAGTGTTCTACCACACACTCCCGCTTCACAACTGTTAACCTAAATCTTTTACATGATCAATAATGGTTGAGATATCGTAGATTTTTTGCTGTAAAAGTGATTCCGTATGTATTTATATAAAGAAGCAATAAATGTACTTGTAAAGTGTTGACCCGACGTGCTAAAGTACTTTTATAGAGAAACTACAGTTTGAAAAAATAATTTTCAGATAGGAAAACATTGATATATCATTCATTCTTGTATGGAGAAAGCTGTTATGGGTATTGTTGTAAATCGCCCATGTCACTTACATGTTGGAAGGTGTTAAAACGAATGTTATACCTATAAGTCAAATATCAAAAAGTTATGGACTCTTTTAGATTTTTTTAAATCATTATTTTGAATTTAATTTCTCGGATTTTTGTAAATTCTGTGTTTTAGTGTTTCTATGATGGTAGATTTGTAACCCATGAACTAACAGTACTCTGTGTTTATTTTGGATTTCTCTGAATTTACTTTTCATGTTTCATACATGTTCAGGTTTTCATCGCCCCCTTGGGGTAATACCCCCCTCCTCCTCTCCGCCTTCTTACAGACACGCCCCTGGTCCCTGGTCAGACAGCCCCCCTCAATATCAGGTATCTTTTAACATTTTCCTCTTCATTTCTCATGTTTATTTATGTTTTTAAAGACAATTAGTTCAAGAAGGGATATTCTACATAGCGTTTCTTTATAAATTTCTAGGATACACATATCAATTGTTTCTAGGATGCTGGAATTTTATGAATAATTTCTTGGATAAGATTGTTATAAAGAATTAAGATACAAGACTGCTTTAAAGAATTTTTAGGATACAGGACTGTTATGAAGAATTTCAAGGATACTGGACTTTTATGAATTGTTTCTAGGATTCAGGACTTTATGAACAATTTCTAGGATACAGGACTTTTATGAACAATATCTAGGATACAGAGGACTGTTATGAATTATTTATAGGACACAGGAAATTATTAATAACTTCTAGAATACAGGACTTTTATTAATAATTTCTAGGATATAGAACTGTTCTGATTTGTTTCTAGGATACAGGACTGTTATGGATACTTTCTAGGATACAGAACTGTTCTGATTTGTTTCTAGGATACAGGACTGTTATGGATACTTTCTAGGGTACATTTCTAGGGTACAGGACTTTTATTAATTGTTTTAGGATACAGGACTTTATGAATAAATTCTAGGACACAGGATTTATATGAATTGTTTCTAGGATACAGGACTATTAAGAATAATTTCTAGGATGCAGGACTGATATGTGAATAGTTTCTAGGATACAGGACTTAATAAATAGTTTTTATGACACAGGATTTTTATAAATAGTTTCTAGGATACAGGAATTTTTGAAAAAGTTCTAGGATACAGAACAATTACGAATAATTTCTAGGATGCAGGAATTTTATGAATAATTTCTAGGATTCAGGACTTTTATGAATATTTTCTAGGATTCAGGACTTTTATGAATATTTTCTAGGATTCAGGACTTTTATGAATATTTTCTAGGATTCAGGACTGTTATTAAGAATTTCTAGACTACAGAACTGTATTAAATAATTTCTAGGATTCAGGATTGTTATGAACTGTTTCTAGGATAAATTAAAGAATGAATTTACATAAGGTTCTAAGTATACATAAAGCTGTAATCTCTATTTCAAGAACCCAATTCTTAATATGTTTTGAAGCACACATGTTGAGTTTAGCGTGTATAAGCGTGTACCTTGATTAATTCAGTTCTACATACCTTGATCATTACATTTAAGTGCTCTTGTAATCAACATTTATTAAAGGGACTGTTAATGTAATTTTAAGTGACTTCAAGGTAGAAATGTTCACAATAATATTATTCAGATGTTTTAACGCTGGCTCTGATAATTTAGTTTAAAGAGTTCCTTCCTATATCCTTATCATGTAACATTTATTAAAGAGACTGTTGATCTAATTTCAAGTGAACCTCCATTTAAAGCGGTACACGCCCTATTCTGAATGGTACCCTTAAATCCCTTTTTCTCAGTCAAATTTGAATTAAAGAGCAGTTTTAATCACGGGTTCTACATGAATTAATTTAAAGTAACTGAGTCAAGAAAGGCCAAGGAGTATGAAATAGAAGGGAGATACAACTGACGCGGCCCGCCCGACCATATGATTATACATGCTTTGCAGACGGTACTCCATTTGTATAAGAAATATTCAGAATAGGTTATTGTATACGCGGAAATTTTACATCAGACAAATATTTCTTTTACAAATGGATACCGTCATCAAAGCATATATAATCATATGGTAGGACGGGCCGCGTCAGTTATATCTCCCTTCTGTTTCATTCTCCTAGAGACAAGCATTATCATTTTTCAAAAAAGAAAAATAACGATATCTTCCTCATTGTTGTTCAGATAAAGGTTTTTATTCAAACGAAATCCTTTTTTACGCAGATCCATTTTAAATTACGTAGATCCATTTTAAATTACGTAGACACATTTCAAATTACGTAGATCCATTTTAAATTACGTAGACACATTTTAAATTACGCAGATCCATTTTAAATTACATAGACACATTTTAAATTACGTAGATCCATTTTAAATTACGTAGACACATTTTAAATTACGTAGATCCATTTTATATTACGTAAATACATTTTATATTACATAGATCCATTTTAAAGTACGTAGATCCTTTTTAAAGTATGTAGATCCATTTTAAATTACGTAGATCCATTTTATATTACGTAGATCTATTTTAAATTACGTAGATCCATTTTAAAGGACGTAGATCCATTTTAAATTACGTAGATCCATTTTAAAGTACGTAGATCCACTTTAAATTACGTAGATCCATTTTAAATTACGTAGATCCATTTTAAANTATTATTATTATTATTATTATTATTATTATTATTATTATTATTATTATTATTATTATTATTATTATTATTATTATTATTATTATTATTATTATTATTATTATTATTATTATTATTATTATTATTATTATTATTATTATTATTATTATTATTATTATTATTATTATTATTATTATTATTATTATTATTATTATTATTATTATTATTATTATTATTATTATTATTATTATTATTATTATTATTATTATTATTATTATTATTATTATTATTATTATTATTATTATTATTATTATTATTATTATTATTATTATTATTATTATTATTATTATTATTATTATTATTATTATTATTATTATTATTATTATTATTATTATTATTATTATTATTATTATCATTATTATTATCATTATTATTATTATTATTATTATTATCATTATTATTATCATTATATCGAAATGAGTGAATGAAGAAGGGTGAAAGATAATGAAATTTTAATCAATTAATTAAACAATTGTCTTCCTCTGACAGAATTGAATAATTTATCAATTAAATAAATATTTCGTTTCTTGTCTTTCTTTAAGTGACTGTAGACGTAATTTCAAATGATGATTAATCAATTTCAATTGTGGTTTCCCTGTCAAATTGTTTTGCGGTATTAATACAGCAGAGACAATGAAGAAATTAACACTTTTCAAGGAAGAACAACGACGGTATGTTCTTTGCTGTTGCTGAGATAATGGCTTCAAGGGGATCCTCATGTGAAGGACATGCGACTTTTTATAAATAGACTTGAAATTCCGTTTACAGTCCCTTTAATTATATTTTACTAATTGAAACTGTGGTATGCTGGGCCTAGGAGTGCAACATTTTTATAAAATTCATCCAAAGTGGGCCTAGGAGTGCAACATTTTTATAAAATTCATCCAAAGTGATAAATTTACATTCATCCAAAGTGATAAAGTTATATTCATCCAAAGTGATTAAGTTACATTCATCCAAAGTGCTAAAGTTACATTCATCCAAAGTGATAAAGTTACATTCATCCAAAGTGATAAAGTTACATTCATCCAAAGTGATAAAGTTACATTCATCCAAAGTGATAAAGTTACATTAGGTTTCTCTCAAATTTTTTTCATGTTTTATCACACAAGCATTTAGTTTGGGACACGCAGTCTTTAAATCTTTACCGAGAGGACCTTGATTTTTTTGACGTAAGAACCTTTTTTTCAAGAAAACATTATTTATTAAAAAAAATCTTAATTTGCAAAATACACGATAGTCGTTAGACCGAAATAACTGCTCACCATTGTTGTAGTAAAGTACTTAACAATTAAACAGTGTACTGTGCAATTGTAAAACAACAGTGGCTGACCAGTTGTTGTAATAAAATAAGTTTATTTGGGAACCACCGTACAGTTTCCTGTATTTGATATATGATAAATCTAAAAATGAAATTACAATTTGTAAAAATCCTACGGATTCATCATGACTGAGAAATGAGGATGATGCCCCAGGGGGGGGATGTCCCAAAGGGGGTATGTGGAATGTACTTCAAATGTACCTCCATCACGGTAAATTAGGGGCCCTGGTTAACAGTCAGTGAGCCCTAAATTTGAGACACATTTTCACCCTTTAAATTAAGATAGATCTTATTTGCTACTTTACATTTTGAATTAGGGATCAAAATATGTTGAAACAGACAGTGCACTAAAACGATGTGTTGACATTTTCTATGGGACCACTGTACGGTTTCCATCGTTTTACCTCCAGGTTAATAAACACACAAATATATAAATATAGTGAAACTACGATATTTTGGAATATTTTAAACCGAGAAAATTATAATTAACATTTAAATGATAAATGATTGGATACATCGATATTTGTGGAAATACTCATTAAAGGATTGTTTTTGTGCTAAAAACTTTATTTTAAAGGGATTTTTGTTGTAATTTAAATAGGTCCGATTCTACCTAGAAAAATTTTTAGACAATAAAGATATCGTCGGTTTTCTCGCTTAAAAAGTTTTTAATTCGCACAATTCCCCCCGTATCGTTTTTGCAAAGAGTAACCATGAAATATTATCATTTTTTGAAAGATTAACACGTAAACTTCTATCTTTGATTTAGCACACAAGTCTCAGGAAATCTTATTTATCTGTTTACATATTTACATTTTTATTCTATTCAATAGTTCTTCGATAACAGGAGTTTTGATTTAGGATTTGAACCTAATATGAAATTCACTTTAGTTCGACGTGGTTGTTTCTATGCATTGACAATAAATCAAAGTTTAGTTTCCGGAAAGTTTAAAACTAATAGTTGTTCGTCATGATTTCCATCTGCCAGCTCCTTTAGAACTTAAGTAAATTAATGATAGTTAAGAAAATGATAAATTATGACAGGTTGAGAAAACGAAAGAAAAAACTTGACCTTGCCCCTTGGATAAATTGATCGATTGGTGCGGGCGAAATTTAATTTTTGAATATATTAAAAGGGATTATCTTAATATTTTAAAACGAGTAATCACCCAATGAAGTTTTGTTTAACTAAATCCGCTATATTAAAGTATGTCCAAAAAAATGGAAGCATTTCTAAAAACTAAATTACCGTAGATTAACCCTTAACAGAAAAGCAATATTATTTGCCATTTTTGTACTGAACAGTATAGTTCAAGTGACCATCCTTGCAGAGATGACAATGCCTGATTAGGTGCCAGTAACAGTTTTTTTTCTAAATAAGTATAAATTTTATGTCCTTGTTTATAATTTTAAAAACTGATTATTTTCAATTTTGGTTTCTCTACAAAAGTAACTTGCGCATTACTACTGCAGGTACAAATTAGCAGAATTAATAATTTTTTAACGCTTAAAGTCCCTTTAAATATACTGCTTACAGCCCCTTTAAATATACTGCTTACAGTCCCTTTAAATATACTGCTTACAGCCCCTTTAAATATACCGCTTACAGTCCCTTCAAATATACTGCTTACAGTCCCTTTAAATATACTGCTTACAGCCCCTTTAAATATACCGCTTACAGTCCCTTTAAATATACTGCTTACAGTCCCTTTAAATATACTGCTTACAGTCCCTTTAAATATACTGCTTAAAGTCCGTTAAAATATACTGCTTACAGTCCCTGTAAATATACTGCTT